GCAAGCACACTTGCCTGATACCCACTACGGCATTATTAAAAATTTTTGTAGTAGGCTGGCATTCACTATGCTATTTTTAATCATTCTTCTGAGAAGCATTGTATCCGCTAAACACTTGCAAGAAATTTTGTGCCGATTGTTCATGCAGTGATTGATGACGATGAGGAATTGTGCCTGAAGTGGGTATGTGTCACAGTTAATAGGTGAACAAGAACAAGCTTTTGTAATGGGTTTGAGCATTGGACAACTCACTCGTTACGCTATTCGCATTTTGGGACTGGTTGTTCTTTCGCTGTTTTAAAACGCTTTATAAGTCGTAATAACGCGATTGCTTTCCCGACATCAAGCTTGCCTAAAGCAAGTTTGTCAACAAGTCCCAAACACTGGCACGGCTCAGTGATATAATACTGGGATCGCACCTAGCGGACCCAGGTTCGAGGCCCACTTAGTCATTGGTATTAGTGTAAAGAGGTTTATTGGGCGAACCTAACGGGTAGGTGGAAGATCCGAGAAAGCCACAGGACAAGGAAGATGATGGAGCTCGAGCGCCGATCTTGTGGTGCCTTACTCTGTGATGATGTTTGTTGCTCCCTGGTGTTGCCATCATTCCTTCATTATAATTGCCCCCGTCGAGAAAAATGAAGCCATCCTGGCGCTCCAGCAGGTGGGAATGAGCGGGCCGAAGTATGGCTTCAAGCGGTCCACGTGAAAAATATTGTCTCCACGCCGACGATGGTCACCGAGCGGCGTAAGCGGTTCAATGACGTAATTGACCGGCGATGTGTGCTCTACCACGCAGTATGGACCATGGTAATTTAAAAGTAGCTTGGTAGACAAACCAGGAGCACAGAGTCGTGCATAAAGCCATACAAGGGTTCCAGGGGCAAACTTTTCGGCAGGAGGGTGTTCGTCATTGCGGGCTTTTTTCTGGCGTTGCTGGTCAGCCGTAGTAAACTGCTTTGCTAGTTGGCGGCATTTTTCGGCATGACGGGCGGCTTTGGACACGGTCGTGCGCTCGGATGCATCTGGTGCATATGGCAGCAAAGTGCCAATTGTGTGCGATGATTGACATCCGTATAAAGGGAAGAATGGGGAAAAGCTGGTGGTGACTTGGGTAGCGGTGCTGTATGCGTAGGTCGCAAACAAAAGAACCAGGTCCCAGCTCGTTTGGTCAAATGCCACATGCGTCGCGAGCATGTCACCCAGAGTCCGATTAAACCGCTCACCGAGGCCATTCCTCTGAGTGCGGTAAGCAGTACTCATCCGGTGTAAAATATGGCACTGGCGGAGAAGTGCTTGGATTATGTGGGATAGAAACACACGGCCCCGGTCACTGAGGAGCTCGCGAGGAGGACCATGACGCAACACAAACCGATGGAGGATGAAAGCTGCAACGTCCTGAGCAGTAGCCGTAGGAAGAGCAGCAGTTCCAGGAAACCGTGTCAGGTGATCTACAGCAACGATAGCCCACCGGTTACCTACTGTGGTCAATGGCAGTGGTCCATAAAGGTCAATTTCGATGCGATTGAATGGGCGGTCGGGGCACGCGAGCGGCTGTAGTGGACTCCTGGATTCAGTGGCCGTTTCCGTCGCTGACACTTGTGGTAGCCGCGAATAAACTGCCGAACAAAAGTGAACATCCCATGCCAGTAGTACCGCTTCCTTAAACGTTTCTAGGTCTTGAAGACACCGGTGTGAGCGCATAGCAGGTCAGAGTGAAATGATGCACAGATTGTAGAGCGCAGCTTTTGGGGAATAACGAACAGCCACTTCCTGCCGTCTGGCGAGTGATTGCGCCGGTACAAGAGGCCACCTCGAATGGTGAAGTGCGAAGCCTGGCATCGCATTACTCAAGTAGTTGGAAGTGTCGGTACCTCAGATAAAACGTCCAGAAGCGAAGTTATCCATGGATCGTTGCGCTGTTTAAAGGACATTGTGTTGATGTCAACAGCTGACAGCGCATGTTCTATAGAAGATATAGAGGCAGCCTCATGGACAGTGGTGATCGCGAGAGCGTATCAGCTTCGGCATGCTGGTGGCCGAAACAGTACACGACGCGGATGTCATACTCTTGAAGTTGCAGAGCCCAACAAGCAAGGCGACCTGATGGATCCTTCAGTGACGACAACCAACATAAGGCATGATGTTCTGTAACTACAGCAAACCTGCGGCCATATAAGTATGGGCGAAACTTGACAATCGCCCAAAGTATGGCTAAGCACTCTTTTTCGGTATCACTGTAGTTTACCTCAGCCTTCTTGAGCGTTCTGCTGGCGTAGGCGACGACATACTCAGAGGATCCAGGCTTGCGTCTCTCTCTAGGTATTAGAAAAATTTAATACCTAGAGATGTTCCTCTCTAGGTATTATTGTATATAACTCTATGGACCAGGCTGTCATCCCAGTCAGCTTGAGGTAATCAAATAAAATTTCTCTGCAAGCAACTTGCGCATATCTCAAGTCTGTAAATTTGCAGAGGTGGCAGAAGTATGTAGATGAACGTGCCCAGTGAGTTTCATCAAAATCCACTGACCTAAAGGAAAAAAAAAAATGCCAGAGGTGACCTTGAAGGGCCCAATGCAGGATATTTTATAGTACTTTTGCCAACTATGGGACTTGATCATAACCGCAGCACAAGTGAAAGCAGCAAAAGCTGGGCACTTGATACTTTAGTTGTTTACATCAGTTTCCAAGCAGGACTGCAGTTTTATATATCAACAATTTATGGCACCAGAAATGAGGTTTTATGCTGGCAGTCTGATTGCTTTCAAATAAAGAATATGTCACGCTCGTTTGCAATGCATTTACTGTGAGCATTCCGGAGATAGAATCATGTTTTCTGCTTGTTAGAACTAAAAGTTTTTGCATTGCTATCGCATTTTCTGTAGAACCAACTCGAGGAGTAGTAAGAGCCACCAACAGCATGGGTGTCTGTCAAAATGAGAAAGTCGTGCTAGCTCATCTGTAATGCCTCGCTGCACATTGGGACAGGGAATTTGCGACTGAGAAGTATATTTTAGCACACACTCGAACTGCTTAGAGACACCAACAGAAAAGCAATTGCAAAATGCGAAAATGTGAATTATTTATCTATGGCAAAATTTTGCTTTCTCAACTCTCAGCCTGTGTTAACTATGCAAGTTTCTGAAGCTTTCAGCTGTTGGTGGAGTGGCCCATGTGGTCGTAATCACTTCGAAACCTGAAGTAACAGCGTACTAGTAAGGTCACGAACGCTTCTGGAAACGCGAGATGCTGAGCGCATTTTCATAGTAACCAGCATGACATGCCCCTGGTTTAGTGAAATGCGATCTGCCTGCTTTTATTTGTAAGTTTAATAACTTTTGATTGCATGTGTCCATCTCAAATGTTCTTTGCGCATTCATCTCTGAATAATATAAGCAACACATTGATATGCAAAAGCTTTGAGGGTGAGATTTGGGCCCACGGATGTGGCAATTAAAACTATTTTTGTTATTTGTGTGAATAAAGTGATTAATCTGGCATGCAAAGCAAACTGAAGTATGTTTTGAGCTATCTGTTGTTGTTTTTTTCACTTTAAATGAATAAATTAGACGTGAGTTTGTCGTCACATAAGGATGTTTACAAAGGGGCCCGTTCTGTGCCGTAATGCTATCGGTTTATTTTTAAATATCCAAATAAGCACACACAAGATTTTTTGAAAGGCTCTGTACATATTTTACAAAAAGACGATTATAAAGATCTGTATGACATACAGAGAAATATGGGAAGCTTCACGGCACTCACAAATGTCTCGAATCCAAGTGCAGAAAACGGAATGGTTACATCTTTATTTGTATTTGTTATACACGCATGAGCAACTGCTAAAGACAATGAAAGCTTGGAAAGGGGAGCTTAAGGCTAACAAAACGAAAGGGAGCTTGTTTTATTTTCCATCGAGCTCTGATCTGTATTCTTTATGATGATGCCAATATGGTGGCTCTGTGCCAAGGGAAAACTGCAAGATTAGCATTTTCTAAAACCTAATTTTCTCAGTTTTATGACAGCACTCTAGTAAAATGCCTTGCTCTCTTCTTCTACTGCTAATATAGTTTAATATTTCACCATGACGTAAAACATGGTTTTGGGATTCAGAAAGCTAAAAAAAAAAGTCAGATGAGAAAATTAAAAAAAAAATTGTAGCTAACCTGCAAGCTCTAGATGTATCCATCGCTTGCTAGGCTACATTAAGTTTAAATAAATATGTACCACTAATTGCAGCATAGCGGTCCCAGGCAAACTGAAAGGAGTCAGTGCTTTAGAGGAAGAATACTGCCAACATATCGGATCTTGTGAATGGCCCAGGTGGCGAGAGAATGTCCAGTGTGGAACCTGCTCTTGTGGTATGCTTTCTGTACAGCCAGAGCCAATATTCGCATTGTTTCAGTTTTTCTGCTCTCAGTACCAGTCTTCTGATTTTGTTTTCACAGTACACTCAAAATTATGGCAGTCTCTATACAAGGTGCCAGGCAAGTATGAGAATGCCTTAACTGTCATTCTAACAGCATTCATAGTGAGCTGGTTACATTCAACATAATGAGGCAAATGCCAGAAATAGTAAGTAAACTTGACATAAACTCCACCAAAACTGCCCGTGACAAGCAATTGAAGAGCCAGTGTTTTCTTTAGGAGACTGACTTGGTACAAATAAATTATTCACTTGAGAATGTTGATTATTCAATCTGTTGAAATGCCCTGCAAGAACAAGGACTTGATAACAAATGTTCGTTTTCAAGTTATATCAGCTTAGCACCATTATTTGTATTACGTCAGGACTGCAGTGTGCATCTGCATATCAGCAAGTCGAGCAGGTGTTTTACCACAGAGAATAGTTACGTTACCAAAGAGTATGTTCCTAAACACAAGGCAGGTACCAACGTGGCATCATTCCATGTGCCCTGAATGTGGTCCCAGCCGGCCACCCAGCAGCAGGGGTGGTGGTGGTGGCAGGCAGCCAGAAAGAAAGAAAGAACACGCTGCAGCTGTGAACGTAAGTCCTACTACCCATTTATTCTTTGAAGGCGGCATGCAAGCGAGGCCTGCTCCCTGCAGGCGGCCAACGGGCTGGTGCGCAGCGGTCAGCCCCGAGTGTGCCTCCTGCACGGTGGCATCGACACGCACTGCGCACTGTGCTCGAGCTGCCCCCCCCCCCCCCCCCCACGAGCGACCGGCGGCGGCCAATGAACAGCGTTCACTCATACACCACCTCCTCGTTGGGGTTGAACGTGTCGATGTACATGTTCTCCTTTTTGTGCATGCGGCGCACATGTGAGCGGAGGTTGTCCCTGCGTGCCGACCGGTAGCTGCAGTGCGGGCACAGGTGCGGCTTCTCGCCCGTATGCATGCGTCGGTGCTGGATTATCTTTTTCAGCTGGATGCTCGCAAAACCACACACGTCGCACACAAAGTTCTCTCCGCTGCGGTGCTTTTTCATGTGCTTCTGCATGTCGGCCTCAGTAGAGCGATCTTTGCCACAGATCTTGCAGCTCAGCTTGACGGGTGCCAGCTTCGCGGCACCCAGCACGTGGGCCTTCTGGTGCTTGCGGTACGCCTTGTACACGGTACACGTGTATGGACAGAAGGGGCAACGGTACTCCTCTGCATTGTGTCGGTGCCGCTGTGGGGGCGCCTCAGGCTTGTGGCGCTTCTTGCCGCAAGGGTGGAAGCCCTCCTGCAGCACGTGCTTCATTATGTGCTTGTCCAGCTTGTCGCGCCGCGGAGACATGTACGGGCACGATGGGCACGAGTAGAGCGGACAGAGCGAGCTCTCCTCGGAGCTGGCATAGCTGGCGTTGCGAGCCGCCTTGCGCGACACCCCGTGGTGCATGCGGGCGTGCTTCTTGAATGCGCTGCGACTCTTGAGCACCGCGCCACAGTCCTGGCACTCGTAGCCGACCTCTTCGATGGGGGCCAGGTCACGACAGTCTTCCTCCAGGGTGGGCTCAAACAGGGCCTCTTCGACAGCCATGTCGGGCGAGGGCCCCACCACCACCTCGCCCCCTTCGATGATGTCCTCCTGCTTGATCATCGAGTTGGGCACCAGGATTATCTCCCCGTTGGCCTCCCCTTCCTGCAGAAGCATCTGGCTCACGGGCGAATGCAGCGCGTGGCCCTTCATGAAACCCTGGCCCTCCAGTCCACCCAGGGTCGTCTCCTCCTGCAATTTAAATAAACGACATCCTTCATATGTTAGGAGTTTCTCTGTCATCGCCATTCCAATAAAATATACTAGCATTATAAACACTTCAACAAAATCCTCCAGCAGTGTCCAATACATGTTGGCAACATGTGCACAGCTTAAAAGAGAAAACAACACTGAATTTGAGTGGGTGACGCTCTTCAACAACAGATTCAGGAAGAATTTGTTAAATGAGCGAGTTGAGCCATGACGATATTTAACAGTTGACGAGAAGTGAAAGTTTGCAGAATGAGCACACTGCTATGCAGATGAAAATAAAATTTGTTCAGGTATAGTTTGTGAAACAGACTGATCTGTGCAGTTTTTCTGCGAACAGCTAGAGGGGTTAGCTCAAAAGACAATTTAATAATATGAGCGACGCCAGTGTGTTGACCCGTCACTGATGAACATCGGTGCAGCTGGGCAAAGTGTACAACAGCATTTCTTCTGTACACAGTTGTCCACTCTTGGCTTTAACAAGAAGCACCTTTGATGGGTTCCCTATTTCACCCTAAGAATGGACGACAATGTGCATCAAGGCAGCACTGCAAAGTAGACACAGGCAAGGAACCTTGTCTGCATTGTTTTATCTCTATTTTGACTTGGCACTCCTAGAGGCTCAGCATGGCCACGCAGGATACAGTGACAGTGCAGCCACACTGAGCCATGTATGTTAGAATGGAACTAAGAATGGACGACCCGGCTGCAAGTATTTCCTTTTTATCTCAACTTTCTCAACACAATGGCTTCAGCACCACTGGGAAGCAGTGAGTCTCCAACAAAGAGTCAGATAAAAAGACGTCTGGATGCCAAGAATGGTAAACATGCATTTAATATTGCCACCTACTAAATAAAATACTACTAAATAAAAGATGGCTGGGCCAACGCACTCGTGGACAAGGCAGCAACTGCTCTGCATGGGCACAGTCGAAGAGAATCGGGAGCTCACCTGGTGCTTTTCTCGGGCCAAGTCCATGTGAATCACTTGGTTGGTGGGCAGCACTTTCATGTCGGGACTGTCGTCGGTCACAATCTCACCCACAATATCAGGCCCTATTTCATCACCTTCCATGATAATCCCATCAGGACCCTAGAAGGCAATCCGGATAATCAACCTGTAGGTCAAAACTATTGCTTCACTTCAAATCAGGTGCAGCACACATCATTAATGAGATGGCCAAGAAGTGCTTATGATAACACAAAGCAACAGTGCAGGTTAGTTAAAGGGACTGTCTACCGTCCTTCATTGCTCTCCTGTTTTGTGTCGCAATAAAAAGCATACCAAGTGAAGTGTCTAAACATGCAGCGGTTTCTCTGGAAAGTGCGTAGAAATCATTAAAACAGAATTTTTCTGTCTGCGTTATGTCTTCTTCCATCGGTGGGATGAATGCCCACAACACTGGTCGGTGCCGGCGAAACCACATGCAGTTTTTACAGGCTTCATGAAGTTTGGCTAATAATAAAACAAATACCTTAGTAGTTGTTTTAGGCACGCAAACACATTTTTGTTGTTCTAATGAGCGTGGCAGACCACGTGGCTTCGTTTCTCTGCCAGTTGCAGGCAAGCGGAAAAAAAAAAAAAAAAAAAAAAAAAAAAAAAAAAGGTCTCTGGCGCAACCTAAAGCTGCCTCAAGTGCATAAAATACAATTTCAAGCTAAACGTGTTTGTTTTTAGGCAAAATAAGTCTACCTCTGAGGATTTATTGTCCTACCAATAGACTGTCAAGATTGACCACATTCGCTGTTGGGTGACGCCACTGGTCACTTTTTATCGACTTTCAAGATCAAGTTAAAATTATAATTCCTTCTTTCCGGCACGAAAGCATTCTCGCTTCCGCCGATGTGTTGCTTTTTATTTGCGCCACAAACAGAAAAATGTTTCCGAGCGGTATGCAGTCCTTTTAAGCTAGTCCACAATAATCGGCTAAGGTGAAAGAATCCTACAGCAGAATGATCGAACATGAAGCAGCACCACCACGGTGAGTGCATTCTAATCACTTACGCTTCCACAAGGGTACCGAGACATGCCCAACCTGGAAGCACTGTTTGTGCTATATACTTGACCACCGTGTTACGTTTGGATGAAAAGACAGGGACAGGTGCCAACTTCCAAGTGAAAGTTTAGTATGTCTAGGCGACACATGTATGAATTATGGTACACAACTGCACAGCGTACCGGCACACATCCACCAATTTTCAAGAAAGCCATCTCCTTCCATGGTCAATGATAGGTAGGTTGTGCGAGCGCAATCACTACCCTTGCGTTGCAGTTCAGATGCCTCGACAATCTTCTCACAGAAGATTGTCGAGGCATCTGAACTCTGCAAACAATGGTCGGCAACTGCACTCGTGGCAATCACTAGCTAAGTTTCCAACATAGCCCTTTTCTCCTATGTTAGGATGTTCACACAATCAGCGGTTGAGAAACTGATGAGTTTACCCAAAGTAAGGCTTTCCACAGACTTAACACACCATGACTTCTGTGCAACCAGTATACTGGAAAGGCACTTGATGGTGGCTAGTCTTGGGTGTGCACCGGCAACCGACCTGCTACCTGAAGAACTTGCTGGGGTGGTTCAAAACCAGACAGGTGACCATCCTCTTCTTTGTTTTTTACTATGCTTTACAAACAAGGCCGATAATTTTTTACAAATTTTGTTTTCATGCAGGGGCTGAAGAATTGCATTTGTGCGCAGCCACCTTCACTTTTCTAGGGATGGCCTGATAAAAAAATGGCCACACAGACAGGAATCACAAAAGTTGGGGCTTCTTCTAGCAGGCCTATAGTGTGATCTGGTCATTACTTCCGCTGGTGGAACGAATTTGCTATACCGATAGATGATTTCTTCTTCTATGTGACTGCAAATCAACATCCGGAGACCACAGGCATGGAAACAAACACCATGCTAAGAGCAAAGCAGTGTGCCTATCCGAAAAAAAGCAGAGCTTACCATCGCTTCTTTTGATTGGAATCATGTTGGCCGGGCACTGGAGCAACTGCCACCCTATGACTTCAAGCACTCCAGGTTGTGAGAACAGCTGGAGCTACACTATGCTTAGAATTCGATTTCCTAGCTTCACTAACCAAGCACATTATCTGCCTGTTGTGAATGCTATAGAAGCAACTTTGAAGAGGTTACCATGGGCCTCTTGCTTTGCTGATACTGAGAAGGTCAAGATATGAGGAGCCAATCGAATTTGCAGAGTTGGCTCAAGTTGTTGGCCACAGACTGCTTTTCCAGATAGCTTGTGACCCACTTATCACGACTGGAAACCATGTTTGTGTGAGTTCACAATGGCTATTTATTTGGAGACATTTTTAGAGCACCCAGTCTCAGTTTTGGTTTCAAGCTAGGCAGGAGCAGTTCCAGGGGCACACATGTCGCAGAAGAAGCTGCATGCACGAAGGAGGAAATCACAGGTAGCGAACAGAAACTTGTGACGTGGGTTTGTTTACATTTCCCCTGCGCTAATGTCGGTGTTCCGAAGGGCTCCGCATTTCACTCAGTTGTGCACTTTAAAATTGATTTTAAATAAGTTCTAGGCTACTTTTCCTTTGATATCTTGTAGATGCGTGTCTCCACCTAAATTTATTTCACTCATTATCTCGCCTTTGAAATTTTGTGTCAGTGCTCTTTTAAAGTAACACTGAAAAAAATTTTCACGCCAAACATTTCAGCCAAATTGAAAGATTGGGCGTTAAAAGTAATATACAGAACATTAATTTCACGCAGAAACTAGAGCACAGGCATGTCAACAATGCCAGCATGTCTCTTATAGAGAGCACCTCTCGGCTGGGGTGCTTTTGTGGAGGTGCAAAAAAAGGAGAGGAGGAAAATGTGATGCCATGTGCACGCTGACAATCCATTAAAAATACATGAAATAAACTCTGTTTATTGGAACAGTGGCACCTCTGTAGTACAATTTCGATGTTTTCATGAGTTTTTTAAACTTTTGTTCAGTATCCCTACAAGTGCATTCACCGCTCCACATTCCAATGAAGGTGCACCAGCACCACAAGGGCTTTTCAAAAATTAGTGCAGGTGAGAGAAATAGTGGGAAGCATAACTATTTTGCAACTTAATGTCAGTGCCAATAACAGCCGCCAAAGAGCAAGTGGTCACCTGAGAGTAAATGAGGGTGTTCATGTTGATGATGGAGGAAGAGGAGACCACCGAAGCCGACACGGGAGGCAGCATCTCTTCTTCAGTGCCGAGAGTCTGCATGTCCTCGGGCACCACTTCCACAAAGTGGGTCGCTGCCTCCATCATTGTGCCACTCTAGCTGCAGTCAGGCTTCCATACACCGCTGGGAACAAAACAATCATCTCATTTAAATTATTACTGAACACGTAAACGAAATGTAGAAAAAAGATTCCAAACACAAATAAATGATTCAATCAAGCAAAAGAGAGATAAGGCGGTCAGCAACACTTTTTCACAACAATCTGATGAGGGAAAAGGAGAACACATGACTAGCACAATAAAAATTCTACAGAGTGAATCCATGTTGGTGTCGCATCTTACAAGATGTGCTTAACCTGCAACATTACGTGTAACTACACAAAAAAAAATTAGCATGTGCATCTCCGGCTCGGCAAAGCAGCGGGTGAAGCTGCAACTCGATTCGTAATTCAATCAAAAGAGTGGTAAGCTGGGAGTGAGTAAGTGCCTGTCCTGTGTGGCTCTCCCACCATGAATCCTAACCAACTAGCCCAATGTGCAGTTCTGATAAGCTGGGCTGTTTGGTTGGATGTATAACAATAATTATCATAACTGAAGTTCTAGGTCCCAAAACTACAATATGATTATAAGGAACGCCGTAGTTACTCCGTAAATTTTAACCATCTGGTGTTCTGTAATGTGCACTGAATATATGGAAAACTTCATTTCAAAAAATTGCTTTTCCGGCGAACCTGGAGCCCTCAGTCTAAGGCCCCTGTGGCCTTTGCCATCTTGCAAGATCTGTTGATCAGATTGAGCTGTTCTTCAGGCTTATAACAGGACAGTGCAGCCTCCCACTGCTCCGGTGTTGGTGTACAGTTTCTTGGCACTGCCTGTGTGTGTTGGCAAGCACATGGCACCTGATTAAGTGTGGGGTACCCTTCGCATAGCGGGCATTTGTTGGCGTATATTGCCGGATAGATTTTACTCAGAAGACTGAGATTGGGGTGCAGCTGTCTCCAGGCAAGCGGCTGCTCTCTGCTGAGGTCTTTGTGGGGAGGGGTTATATCTTCCTCAGGGCTCTCCGGTGTTCTAAAACTGTTCCATTGCGTCTAGTATTTCTGTTGCTTGTTTTCTGTCGTCATGCGCCCCCCCGGTCGGCATATGCTCGAGTAACGGCGTCGGCACGCTGGTTCCCTGTCAGTTTACTGAAATCGCACAGTACACGCGCACCATCATGAGGCATCCATCAAAATGCGATGGCCGCGAACGGGATCGAGCCCGCGACTTGCGGGTCAGCAGCTCCACTGCGGTGGACGAATGCATAATACACAGCTAAAAAAAAAAAAAAAAAAGACCGCGCGCGACGGCGCTTGTCCCGCAAAGTTCCGTCATTCTGATTTTTACGAGCTGTTTATTATTATGCGCCGCTTCGCAGTGTTGGTAATTTGAGATAGCGGCGAATGCAATCCGTCCGTTCTGCTCCTCACCATCATGTCGATCATATCACCATGAGGTTCTCGCAATGAAACGCAGAGGTTTATCTTACACTCATAGCCCCGCCGCGGTGGTCTAGTGGCTGAGATACTCGGCTGCTGACCCGCAGGTCGCGAGATCGAATGCCGGCAGCGGCTGCTGCATTGCCGATGGAGGCGGAAATGTTGTAGGCGCGTGTGCTCAGATTTGGGTGCACGTTAAAGAACCCCAGGTGGTCGAAATTTCCAGAGCCCTCCACTACGGCGTCTCTCATAATCACATGGTGGTTTTGGGACGTTAAACCCCACATATCATCATATCTTACATCCCATAAATGACCCACGCTGATAACGACACCGCCTCGGTTCTCTTGCACTAGTTTGCGAGAGCGCACCGTGACTCGCACGCGACGCTAAGCCGCCGTGAAGCCCTAGCTTGCGCAAAGGAGACTGCCGCAACTCGCCGATAATTTTACACGCGCCTTTCTCAAAAGATACATGTGCCCATCAACCAAACGCGCGCTCTCTCCTATGTATCGCCCCCCCCCCCCCCCCCTTTTTTTTCTAAATTGTGTTTGCTTTCCTTCACTGCCGAGCGTATCAGCTGTAGGGCAAGCGTTGCAGAACATAGAGCAGGCACTGCCTGCTCGATTACATGTGCCAACTGATTACATGTGCTTTAAAAACATCCGCGCAGAAGTTCCGATGACTGAGTCTCTCGTCGAAAGCGTCGCGGCCGCAATCTGAGCGCAAGCAATGAGCTGCCTGATCGTCAACGAGCAAAATGGCGACTGTACAAAGACGCTCGCTAATAAAACTTTTAGGCTTATACATGCTTTGGCCTAAATTTAGGCCTACAAAACTCACCTGTGTTTTGGTCAATGAAGGTTCCGACGTCGTAAGCAGTGCCCCTTAGTCCTTGATTTGTAAATTAACCCGGGAAGCCAGTAATATTTAATTATTCGCGAATTTCAATTCATTCGACGCGACGCACGCTTCGATTCACAACGCCATGTTTATTAAGCCTTCTTCGAGGGAAAAGGTCCGCAGCGCGGTGGGATGGCGCATTGCGAGGACTAACTAGGCTTACTAATTTTGTTATAAATAATATTTTTGCAGATTTCTATTAAAATAATCTTTTAGAGTACTGCTAAAAATTATCTGCAGCAATCGCGCTGTTTCTGCATTGTTCCGCTAAGAAGTTAGACTTTAAAAAAAGTGAAGAAAACACTCCGCAATTCTAAACTTTACATAATTATTTATATTTATAGGCAATCTAAATCAAGTTTTATGTTAGTTGTAATGTAATTTTAAATTGTGATTTTAAAAGTGCGTACAAATGTTTGGTTTTCAATCGACAGCGACATCCTTGTGCAAGTGCCAATAGAGGTACAGTCATAGACACAGAATACTAGCTTCATGTACACTGTAATAGAGTCATGCTATGATAGAGGCATAGCCATCTATAATTTTGTTGCCTGCCGAATGAACACGAAACGCCCGTCATCTATAGCAGCGCTACCTACGTAAAGTCAAAGGTCTTTGTACTTGGCTTTTAAGATTGGCAATAATTGCGTTTGCTAATTTCAGAGGCTATGCCTTGTATTGTGAGGGGTTGCCTGTTGAATGAGCGCAAAACGCCCTTCATCTGTGGCAGCGTCACTTACGTAAAGTTAATTATAATTAACTAAAATTACTTTTACATCTTTTAAAAAGTTTTTTATTTTATTTTTGTTTTGTATACGCTTTAAAAACGTAAAAATATATTTGAAAACAACCTCATTTTAGTAGCGCCACTACCGCAGCTTCGACCAACGTTCTAGGAACGTTGACTCCGACGACGGCCGCTTCCCAAGTGACCGCCACTGATCTCCACTAAGTGGAGTGGAGATCAGTGGTGACCGCCGATAATCCGGCAGGCAAAAGAAATCTACTAGGAGGCTGTGGCACTGAGCACCTACCAGTGCGGTAAGTCTACACATGGTTCGGCCAGGAGATTGAGCCATCGAATAACAGGTCTTAAATAATTTTATGGTTTAGGAATCGAGTGTGTTCGGTGTTGAGGCAACGGTGTTGGTTTAGGTTTAGTCAGGTTTAGCTGTGTGACCGTGTGAGGTGTTCTGACTCGCCATATGGTCTCGGCACGCGCATGTATGGATATCCCTAGCGAGAGTTTGCTGTGAGTGCTGTAAGGAGCACTCAGCAGAGGGGTTCTGTTCTCTTGTATTTCAGTGGTACAAAAGGCATGCTTCACGTGAGCTCGAAAACGTTGCGGTTGCTGTGCCGCGGCGTCCACACGAAGCCGTCGGCCGAGGAATCTGTGCGTGTTCGAAGGCTTTTCGACGGACTGACCGCCGGGGAACGGGCTGCGTTAGCGCAGTCCATCACTCTCGTCGAGTCGACGGCTCGGCGGGACCACGACGAGGCGCAGCACTTGCTACAACTCGTCCTCCAAGAGAACAAGGCGCGCAGAAAGGGCCAGCTGGGGTCCTTTCGCATAGGTACTACTGCCACCACGCAGTACGACAGCCTTCATAACTCGTGCTTTCTCTTTAACGAAGGCCTCACTGGGCCACCCGGAACGGGCAAGTCGACGTTTATCGAAACTTTCGGCAAATTCCTCACCGGTTCTGGCTACAAAGTGGCGGTGCTCACTGTGGACCCTTCCTCAGCTGTGACAGGGGGTAAGCTGTTGCAGATGTGGCCTTGCATACCTTCTTATGAAGTGTTGTGCGTGTAGCCCTTCAATGAGTGTTCATATTGCGTGACGTTCTCGAAAATAAATTCGTTTCAAGTTCAATGCTCTGTCCACTTCACGTTTTTTTGCGCTGAATGTTGCAATCGGGAATTTTTTTGATTACGTGTTGTCAAGCTTTTATTATTGCACAAAAGCAGTGGAACTTTGATTGCGACATACTTCTGTTTCGGTCATGCAGCGAGTATCCTAAGCGTGATCATGACCTCCTGACTCGCCCAGATAGCAGTGTTCCTATCAACGCTACTAGAATAAACTCGGTTTTAAAGCCCTGAATCACCGCCAGCATAGGGTGGTTTGAATGGCGGTCGCAAGAACTAGCGGCGCTGCAGTGAAATTTTGCACAACTCTCCGAGTGTCAAACAAAAAAAGGGGGTAATTATGCTACACACGTATGAAACACACAAAGGCGCAGACTTTCAACTAACCTTTATTTCACACGGTTCACCTACACACATATAAACCAGACACATGCAGACTTGCAACTAACTTTTATTTCTCAAGGTTAGTTGCAAGTCTGTGTGTCTGGTTTGTACGTGTGTAGCACAGTTATCCCCTTTGTGTTAATATGCACCAACTGGCCCGCAACAACTTCTTTCTAAACTACATCTCGGAGCATCGTCTACTACGACGATGGTCCGCCGCGACATTGCTCGCGATGGATTTCTTGTTACTATTATCGAACTTTATCATGCTTCCAGTCGACATTCTCGTTATGCATTTGTGGACTGCTTATGTGGATATGCACAAGGTCGCCTGCATGCATAGGCCCGGAGACGTTGCTCAATGGTTGGCTAAGAGTCATGTCTGGCCTACAGTTCAGTTGTTTGCATTGTGTTACACGACCTACTGTACTCCTGACCTGTCCGGATTGGTCTCGTGTGTGACCGATGGTGGCGCTGCGAACCGCGCCTGTATTATGTCAAGGAATTCACGCCTACGCTATACCGTCGAGGTAAAACTCGACAAAGAAGCAGTTCAGTTGATTATCCTTTGTGTGATGGTTATCGACGCTGTTCGAATAACCGTGTATATCTTCTTTTAACGTTCATTTTGTAACCACAGTGCTTTGTTTCTTAGAACTGCAGCCACTTGTCTCCGCGGCAAGTGATGCGCGGTGGTGAAGTAGTGCTCTGTACGAACGTCCGTCAGTGAAGAGGGCGTTAGCTTACACAGTTATCCCAAAGACCTGAAGCTTAAGAAGAAGTGTATACTCAAGCTCAAAATGGAAAAGCCCCCCACGCCTGCAGTGATCATGCACAGCAAGCACTTCACAAATTTGTGCTATACCTACCATACGCGCCACTTTTCGGTAAGCTTGTAACCGCTTTGAGGATTGGGCCAGTACTTCAGCCATTTATTGCGTTCAGGCTACAAGCATAGGTGACCTCACACTAGGTGTGGTGTTTCCCAAAACATACCGCGAAGACTCATAAACAGGAGCCGATGACACGGTCTGCGACCTGGGTAAGTGCACCTCACGAGCGCAGCTGAGCGGTGCAGGATGTCTGAAACTACGGCTTTATTTGGTTAGTGATGAGTAGTAGACACTATGGATACTAACTGTTGGACAAGAGTTCCTCGGTGAAACTTTGAAACCAAAACCGCACGAAGTTGATTGCAACGCAGAAAAGAGCAGGCAAAGAAAATGCAGGGCAAGGCAAGAAAAAGAACAAAAAGAGAAGACGTGCGGTATCGAGGCAGTTAGGTTCCAGGCCTAAGCCTGAAGAAGTGACGATCCGGCAAAGATGACGCCTGCTGTGGTAGTGGTCTTCAGAGTGCACTTAGCGAGTGACACCGTGACTTAGTTTGCACCTGCCCTCCTCTATGCCGACGTCTACCAAACTGTGCAACGAACTTTCATTTGTAGTCTGAGGGACACTCTTGGCTTAATCTGGACTCTTGGACAATCTGTTTGTACAGTTGCTGTTTTTTTCCGTTCTATTTATAACTCCTTCCTATCATTTATTTTAGAAATAATGAAAGAGTATCATTCCACCGCACGGTTTCGTTGACTATGCCACTGAAACAATTTTTCAGTGGCAGTGCTTGACTGTATGAACCTAATGCCCGACAGCGTGCTTACATACGTAGTTTACTGATCAGGACAAGCGCGTGCACTGCTTATCATAATTTCTTCAGTAAAATCTGCTGTCACTGTTTAGTGTACATTCTTTAAAGGTTTTCACCTCAAGCAGTACAGACACTTTAAGCGAGCTCCTTAAGCTTTTCATTATGCCACGTGCGAGTACAGCAATGCCACCCAGCTTCTTGCCTTTGCCACGTTAATCTCTGCGGTTCTGTGCGTGGTATACATAATGAGCGATAACTATTTGTTATGTTCTGATACCCAAGCAACCACTCTGTGTGTATTAATATAAACTACTTTGCAATATTGCTCTCACTAAACGAACATTACTGGGAAAAGCTGCAGTGGTTTTCAGCGGTGAGGGGGTGCAACAAGGCGGTACTTGCTCCCTCCCCCAGCCACACCAGCACCTGCCCCCCAAGACATCTTTCTCTGCCATACACCACAGGCTTGCGCCCTCGATACAAAACCCTGCCATCACCCACGACTGCAATCCGAGCACGATTATCTCAAATTTAGTAATTTGATGCTACATTGCATTTTTAGCAGATGTCATGAACGCTCGATTGACTGCTCAAACAGCAGTTCAAACAGCTGCTCAGTAGTAATTATCTCATGTGTTGTTTGTGAATGTCAGAGTGGCAGAAATCGGCTATCATCACACATTTTTCTTTTATGTTCGCTGTCACTATCATCTCGAGGAAAGTGCAGTGGCACCACTTTTCTAAGTGTGTTCCTCCTCAAAGAGCTTTCAGCCTGCATATTTCCTTGCATCGCACTATAACGATTTGTCATGTGTCATACCAGTATTCATGCTGCTAAGGAGTCCTCCCTGTGTCAGGGTCACCCACTGAATGGCACTGCACAAGCATCTTCCCGTTATCTGCTGTTTTCGTTTTCCTTGTACCCTTTTCAGTGAGCTGCAGCTTTTACTTGTATTCCTTTATTTTAGAGTTATCAAAGCCAATTCAGTAAGCAGTTTGTGTTTGAATGTTTCATATCCTTCAGGATCTCTGCTTGGTGACAAGACTCGTATGATCCAGCTGACCAGAGACCCGAATGCCTACATTCGGCCATCACCGACTCGAGGACATGGTGGGGGTGTAACCCGCACTACATGTGATGCCATACAACTCTGTGAATGTGCAGGCTATAATGTCGTCCTGGTCGAAACAGTTGGTGAGTTATGGGAAGTTCTTGCATGGGGGACTCGTGAAACTTGTTGTTTGGACTCCATCAGATGCTGTGGGATCGCGCAGGCTTTAGGAACAAATGGCAGTACATTGTAAAAAAGTGCATTTGTCTGCACATTTTGCAGTAAATCTACTAGCAGAGCTATTCAACCAATAGCATGTTAGTGCAAACCGTTGCTGAAGTCATTGTGTTGACTCGCTACGTCAGAATGTCGGGCGAGTAAAGTTTGCCCCTGTCAGATGCTGAAGCGCATGTCACTTCCTAGTCGGGTGTCACAACAGGACATGCATGTCAGCGGTTGGGAAGAACAGATGGTCCTGCAAAGAGTTGACAATGCACTCCTAGGTCCAAGAGAAAACGTGGTGTTCCTCGTGGCCGCATATATTTTCGCCTCCAGATGGCAGTGCCACCTATGCTTGCCCTGCTGAAAACACCATGTGACGAAAAACTCTATTGAGGAATGTGGGCATCTCTACAATGCTTGGGGGCGGGGGGGGATTCAGAATTACAGGGTTTCGTCTTATTTATTGCCCTCACACAGTAGTAACTTTTGCTGCTACTATAGGTGGAGGCAATTGGGTTAGCTTGGCACTTAAACCACTCGTATCGGTGGCACTCATGCCACAGTCAAAGTTGCAGGAAAGCATTCACCACTGGCAGTGACTGTCGGAAAAGTGGGAGAAATAGCGGCTCTCTTATTTTGTTCTGCTGGCCCCCACTTCTTGATGTGTTCCTGAAAAAAAAAACAGTGCTATTTAGTGCCGGCTGTGTATATGGCTGTAGTAAGAAAGCTGGGGGTAAACAAAGCAACCTTTCTCTATTATGGTCCCATCCTCTTCATGTCCCAGTGAACACAGGGCCTCACCACTGACTAGCTGTCGTCGATGGGGCCCCTTGTACATATAGAAATGGTAAGCTAGGTAGCTGTCTGCATGTAGGTGCTCTCCTGAACGACTCTTTAACTTGGCAGATACCAAAAATAGCTTAGGAGACGGCTGTATGAGGAATATGACTGGCAGTTCATGACATACCTGTCGTGTATGTCATGAAACATTTTCCCCCTGTTATATATGGCACCTATGCATACCAAATGCTTTGCCATATGAGCCACAGGTGAAACCCAAGAATAGCAAAAGTAGACGTTAGTAATTTCATAAAGTAGTAATAGAAATTTCTGGAGTTTCTCATGCCAAAATTACGATTATGACAAGAGGCTAGATTTATAAGCACTAAAAAACGGGCTTCAGGCGCCGAAATTAGGTTGGCAAAACATCGTTTTAGGCTCCCGAAATTGTAAATATAGGCACAATAAACTTCGACAAAGAAGAAATATGTGTGTGATATGTGTGTAAGACAGAAAAAGCAAATGGAGTTGTTTTAGCTTATGGTGGTACAAAGGCACCAATGCTGTAGCATAGCCATGCATTTTTTTTTCCTGCAAGGTTTGCAGAATTTGGTCTCTCGTTTTCTAGTCTAGCATTGTGAGTTGAATGTCCACAATCAAATGAACGCGCTCGCGGGTCTCTTTCTTTTCAGCATGGCCGAAGAGGGCAACACAGTAGCAAATAGTCAGAGCGCTAATAGGCCGGAAGAGTCTTTTAGAGCGAAAGCTGTTATGAGATCACAACATGGGTCACACGTGGCGCCGTAGTTGTCCGCCACCGGTGTACGTAACCACTATTGCACGAAATAGAAAAACAAAAACAAATAATCATAGCATATCCACGGACTGAATGATGATGAGCGAGGAGAAGCATCTGTTCGTCCGTTAGAGCATCCGTCTGTCCGTCCAACCATGGGTCGATCTGTCCGTCCGTCTTATGAACACACCAAATACCACCACCTCGCATCTTTTCATCATATATTGATTATATACAAGTACCACCATCTAGCGGACATTTCAAGAACTAAACTCCCCTGTGGACGTATCGGGTAATGCCTTAAGGAGCTTCTTTTCATCATATATTTATTATTAGAGTAACTGTATATGGCACTTACAAGACCAGAGTAGCGCAACTGTTTTCCAACGCCACCAGCACCCATGCATTGCTGAGAAGCTGACGCTCAGGTCAATTTTGTGTGTTCTGACGCCACCGCGGCTTTGACGCGGATCATCGCCAGTCAAGTTAAAAGCGAATCCAGCTGGTTTTCGTGACTTTTCTGAATGCGGTACATAGGTGCATGCTGCTGACTGCAGATCAGCTCTATGTGTGCCTCAGGATTGCAGTTCTATCATCACAGCCTTCAGAATGTTACAATGACTGGGTAAACTGGTAAGAGACGTTTCACCAGTTTCTAGTATACAGGCTAAAAGAGAACTGCACTGTTCTTTGTTGCGCATTCATATCTGTTTGAACGGAGCCTGATTACCTATCTTCTTGAAAAGTAAATATATTTATTCGCCACTGATGGAGCTAAAAGGGCGTGGTTGTTCAATTTGCTGAATTTTGCAGTGAAAGCTTTTATGAGATCACAAGAGCCTATTCTGGCGCCATAGATGTTCCCCGCCGCCGGTGTCCGTGATGACTATCGCTCGAAATTAAAAAGAAAGAGAAACCTACGTAAAAATATACGTGTCGCATTTGGGAATCGAACCCAAGTCTTTCGCGTGGCAGCTACGGCATAACTTGGAGCTGAGCTCTAAACCGATTTTATGCAGGCTGCATATTGAGTCAGAATTTGTGTTTACATGTGAGATATATTGTTTTATAACAGTGAAGTAACAACTGTGCATCACACAACGCAAATTGTGCAAATAGTGCGCTGTTATGTTCTTACGCACTTCGAAAGCCTAAGGCATAACTCCTCATTGAGTTATATTCACCGAGACTAATTACGTAATTTCAGGTACCGTCAGGGTCAACAACTGTTACATATCACCAGTGTAATGTGAATGCTGATTGTTCCTGTGGATTATGCTGTCAAAATTCCGAAAATTCGTGAAATGTCAATGTCGCAAGACCAAAGCTGATTATGTTCGCTCTGCACTTTCTGCCACATGCTGAAGAAGCACGTCGCTTTTTTTTTTTACCGCGATATTTAGTGAGCTCTTACGTTGCACTTTGTTGGCAATCGAGCAGAAAAGCGGCCTTCAAGCACTGCAAACACTGCGTGAAGGACAGAAACCAAGTAGGTCGATATGCAACACAGAAAAAACAAAACAACAAAAAAAGGCAGGCGTGTTGCCTGCGAAAACAGAGGGTGACTTCGCCGCATAGCTGCGATTGCTAGCCAGGCAAGATGGCGGACCTATGCGCTACTCTGGTCCCGCAGGAACCATATACAGTTGGCAAACTGTCCAAAGCCTTCAGACGCCCACTTAACAGTTGTTCCCTTTCCAACCTTTGGCTCTAAAGCAAGGTCGACCTGAAGTAGAGGTTGCAGAAGATTACTGCCACTTACTCGTCCTCCTCACCGATATCACCTTCGTGTTTAGCCTCACCACCATCCAGCGACGATCGCCTCGAATTACCATTCACAATGCACGAACTCGACGCTGCGATTTCTGCGTCCCGACGGTCGTCCGCACCAGGGCCTGACGGAATTACTTATTCGGCTCTATATCACCTCAGCCAGGAAGCAAGGCAGGCTCTCTTGTCGTTCTACAACTCTACGTGGGAAACAGCGACAGTCCCAGAGAGTTGGAAGTGCAGCCGCATAGTGGCCTTACTGAAACCAGGCAAGTGTTCACACGAGTTGTCTTCTTATAGACCCATTGCCTTAGCCAATTGCATCGGTAAGGTTATGGAACGCATGGTGCTGGCAAGATTGGAATGGCTGCTGGAGAATAATGTCGCCTTACCAGATTTTTTAAATGGCTTCCGTAGAGGTCAATCATCTATAGACGGTGTTGTAGATCTAGTTTCTTCTGTTGAAAAGGAAAGACAACGTCGGAGATTGGTAGGACCCATTTTCTTAGATATAAAGGGCGTGTACGATAGCGTCTACCATGAGGCCATTCTTGACGCATTTGAAGACATCGGCGCAGGTGGCAGACTACACGCATGGATAGTGAGCTATCTCAGAGGACGTACCATTTTTATGTCGACCTCTGACAATGACACGGCCAGGCACCTCGTAAGCCGTGGAGTTACGCAAGGCGCCGTCCTGAGCCCCATGCTTTTTAACATAGCACTCATTGGCCTTGAAGCTGAGCTTCCCGACGTTGTCAGAATCAGTGCGTATGCGGACGACATATGCATGTGGGCACTGGAGCAACGCGACCACAACTGCGAGCAAGGCTACAACAAGGCATATCAATAACATCTAAGTACTTACGTCGTCAGGGCCTGGAACTTTCAATAGCAAAATGTGCTGCATTGGCATTTATGAAGAAATCAATGTCGCGGTACCCAATCTTCGCTCACGGAGCAGTGATTCCCGCGGTCAAGCACCACCGTTATTTAGGGGTCGTCATTGATCGCAACCTGTCTTGGTCAAAGCATGTGACTGTATTGCGAAACAAACTAATCAGTTTTGTGTATGTTCTTCGTGTTATAGCAGGACTGAGATGGGGCCCTTCAGAGAAAAGTCTTCTGCAGTTATACAAGGCATTGTTTGTGGGCTATATACGGTACAGCTCACCTGTACTTTCCGGCATGCGGACAACGTGCCTTCGTACGTTAGAGAGCCTTCAGGCACGAGCACTGAGAATATGTCCTGGCCTGCCACGGTGCACGTCAACCTCTGGCACTATACAGGAGTCCCGCACCTACCCTACACAGGTTTACACGTCCTGTGAGCCTCTTCGAGTGCACCTTTGTCTGCTGACCCGACATGCACAGCACCCGTTGTCTTCGCTACAAGTGGGTCGACCAGGCTGTACCTATTCGCGATGCCTCGATACGCATAGGCGAATAATCCCTTCAGGCTTTGCACCTGCCGTAATCCCTGCAGTGCCTCCATGGACATTGACCAAACCGCTGGTGTGCCTTCACATACGTGGAATTTCGTATAAGTCGCGTGTTTCTTATATTGCCCTCAAG